TTAAGGAACCGTTTTGCTGCATTAGGCCTTTCCTAATAGCTATATTAGCTATTTTAAAATACAGCAGTTTAGCATACTAAAAGTATTGGGTGAAGTGGGTGGCACTTGGACACAAAAGATATAATGCACTTCTCTATTATGATTTGTTTATATTTTTGCAGTTAATCAGCTTATGTCATGCTTAGTTTCTCGATTAGTTTTTTTACGAGCATCGCTAAGTTATTTCCTCCTGTGTTTCTACTATTTTCTTTTTTTTATTAGAATCGTAAATAGTCCTGTATTAAACATAGATTATTCTAAATTAGGAGACTTTGTCGTGATAGTAACTCTTGACATGCGGATCGCAGTAGCTTTAAGTCGCTTTGTGTTTTAGAAGTTGATGCTGATCACCGTCATTACTCTGATATGACTCAGATGGTTATTTCGTTATCCATCACGCCGTTTGCATTTTTGTTGCCTGGTAAGATAATTGTGGCGTATAACTTATTTAATACCACAACAACAACACCGTTTCAATTAAAAATGTATTTCTTACGTCAGACGACACAATACATGTAGCACACTGGGGCACATCGTTGTAACTTTGATACGAACCAAATACTGTAGGTAATGCCAAGGTATACATATATCTATTTTGCTTTTAGTGTACTAGTTTAGCAGTCATCCGTAATTAGATAATTTCAAAGCACTATGACATATTATAAGGTGTGGTTTGTAGAAGCCGGCCAAGTTTAATTTATAGTTTGGCGTATTTCCGACCGTATCTATTTCAGTAGTTTTGACGTTTTGTCGTGTTGCACTGCCGTTCGTTAAAATAGAAGCGTAAGGTGGGGTTTGGACGTCACACAAATATCCGCGGTTCGATGCTACGCAGTTTCGCGTCTAATTTGGTGACGCCGCCGTCCGCCAGTAGATCGACGCAATCGTTTGTCGATACAAGAGCGTTAGCACACAACCGACACAGCTATTGCGTACCGTTTGCGTCACGGGTACCGTTCCAAGTGAACTGTTTACTTTTTACAATAGGTGCAGTTTTGCTGTATTTTATTTTGTATCTTCTACCGTTACCGTTACAGCCTATTTAAGTCCACTGCTGAAAGTAGGCCTCCCATAGGTTGCCTCATAGGCATAGGGAAGATATTTGCGGGTTGGCAACCCGTAGTTATTTATTTTTAGTCGTTATTTGGAAGACGCTACTGCCCATTTCCTGATTAATTGTTTTCCTTTCATTTTCTATATTCTAATCACCGGTATTTTCGTTTTAATGAACCAATTCGTTCTTTTAAATATGTTAAAACTAGTTTGTGCAATTTGAAAATGAGAGATTTTAGAGTAAAAAATATTTGTACATTTACAAAAAGCACTTAATCGTCGAAATTGAAAACATCGAAAACGCTATCGCCGTACTGATCCGAGTGAATACATAATTTCTATAAAAACTTGAAGAAACGCCGTCATGAAGTCTAAAATTGCGTAGCGCCCGCGACGAATAAAAGCGCTTAGAAATTGTCAGAATCTTAAAATATTTTTAAAAAAATTATTGATTTAAGTTATCAAAATAATGAGAGTAAATTTGAATATTGATGTTATGTTTTTGTGTTCCCAAGCATATAGATCAAATGATTTCGTTGTAATTTCAACTATAGTGATTTTTTAGAGGTGTTTTCGCAAATAATTATGATCGAGTCAAAATTATACAATCGTGTTTTTGAGCAATCAAATTCAAGATAAAGACTTCAGTTTACCTATATCAAAATCCCACTTTCGTCAGTGGTGTCATAGTCCTATACTATTCGATGAAAGGAGGTGCATTTTTTCACGGTGTCGCCTTAACGACAAAAAGAAGAAATAGCAATAAAATTCAATTGCTAAAGTATATGCAAAAAAACAATTGCGAAGGTAATTCTCTCAATTGTTCCCTGGTTCGCCCTTGCTCGGACCGCTCGGACGTGACTGCTCCGGGCAAAAACAAAAACAAGTCAAGTGGGCCGGTCGTCGGTGCTGGCGGGGCGCAGCGGTCAAAATCCGTCTGTTGCCTGTCGCCCACAACGCAGCTCCGATCTCGGCTTCGATCAACAATACCAACTAGATGTCGGGTCGGCGCAAGAAATCCATCTCAGTAAATAAGAGCGCACATGAGACGTGAGCTCTTGCACGTGAGAGTGTATAGCTCGCAAGGCAATAACGGGAAAAATAACCTTATTTGTTATAACTTAAGGTTGATTTCACACTAAATGTTGTTTAATTTATGTCTTCATAGTTTATATTCATGCGGACAGTATTTAGCTATGATTTTGTACGTGATCCGTTATCTAGTTGGTATTGTTGATCGAAGGATCTTGGACTCGGACTCGTGGCCACAGTAAGAGAGTCTAAAGGTCCTGCCGACAACAGACGTCCGCGTAATATATTGTTATGAACCTGAATAATATAGGTATTATTATTAAGCGTATCAAAATAAGTTAGGAATTGTATATACTTTCAAAATACACTGATAGAAAGATATATTAGCAAAACCTGGTAGTATAACAATACTTAATTAATATCCGTCTTCGATTCCTACTATGATGATATGAATGAAAAGATACGGCGAAACAAAATTTTCAGGTACATGTATAAGTATTATCTTTTGTCATAATAAACGTATGTACAAACGCAAACGATAGTACCTGCAATAAAAATAAACCTAGCAACAGGTGGCCAGACAAGTCAATATTGATTGTAATCCACGCAAATGTATTATAAAGAGTGATTGCACTTATTCAACCGTTCTGACCCGTAGCCAGTGCATTTGACCGCTGTTATAATAAACCCAAACATTTTGTTGTGGATCGTGTGTAGCGCCTGGTATTTTCCACTGGTGAACAGACAAGTTGCATGTTTTTAATTTTTTTTAAGTTTACTAAAATTGTTAAGGAAAATTAAAAAAAATGACAATTGATTTTTCATATAATTTTACAATTAAAAACGGTTTTTCTAAAATGTTAATTCGAACGCCAGTGACGTCATTATATAGCTTTAGTAACGCCAAGTAGGGTTGCCAGGTGAGTCGCGAAAAAAATAGCGGACAACCCCAAACGGAGGGGGGGGGGGTTGTAAGCTAGTTTTATTTATTAATCTACATCACATAAATCAACTTAATTAGTAACAAAATACACACACCGGCACGGAAACTTGGCCACTCGTGAATTTGCTGATTATTTGCACTGAAACGTTTTTTTAACAGTAAATTAAGGGTAGATGCATTCAATAAGTGTCTCTAATGGTTTTAGAACATAGAAATTTAATGTTTACTTCACCGAAATTTTTCTTTTCAAGATAACATGTTTTCACTAAAATTAACATCTTTTCATTGTCACTTTAAAAACACTACAAAGTTAAAAATTAAGTCTGTTTCTTTATTGTCTATCAGTTTTAATATCGGGTGTTTCCTCCTCTAGCCCTGATAACCGCTTGCATTTGCTTTGAATGATGTTTCTGACATCAACTTGCGGTATGCTGTCCCAAGCGGCCAGCGCTGCATTTCGGAGCTCATTTAGAGTTTGTGGCGGTTTGGAGCTGGACTTTATCTTTCTTTTGAGCATACCCCATACATGCTCAATTGGATTTAAGTCCGGGCTACGAGCTGGCCACTGTAATTTTTGTATTCCAACCTCTTCCAGATATTCCTCTACACAATGTGCGACGTGCGGGCGTGCATTATCGTGCATGAGGAGGAATTGGTCGTGTCCAATGAATCCCGAATAAGGCATTACGTGCTCCTGAAGAACTTCCTCGATGTATCGAGTAGCTGTAAGCCGATTATCGACGATGACCAACTCTGTACGTGCGTCGGAACTTACACCTCCCCATACCATTATTGAGCCTCCATGGAAACTCACAGTTTGGGTGGTGGTAATGGGTAGAAACCTCTCTCCTCTTTTTCTCCACACTCGTTCTCGACCGTCTGGAGCACGTAAAGCTATTCGACACTCATCTGTGAACAACACTCTAGCCCATTGCTCGTGGGTCCAATTGACATGTTCTCTTGCGAACTGAAGTCGGGCTACTCGGTGCTGTCTGAGAAGTTCTGGACCTCGTGCTGGTCTACGAGCTTTTAAATTCACTTCCTCTATTCGTCTTCTCACCGTACGCTCACTAACATTAACGCCTCTTGCGATTTGGAGCCGCTGGCGTATCTCAACAGCGGTCAGGTAGCGGTTTCTCAAAATCTCCATAACAATAAAACGATCATCCCGGGCCGATGTGCACCTTACGCCCCCACTGCCTGGCCTGCGGGTGTAGCGGCCTATCTCCTGGTATCGTTTCAGTGAATACTGCATTGAGGACCGTGGTACGTTAAGCACAATAGCAACTTCACGCTGTGTCAGCCCTTGGTCAATTAATGCTACTGCTTGTGCAACTTGTGCTGGTGTCAATGGCATTTTTATTGGCTTTAAAGCACCTTTAGTTATTTAATTAAGACACAAGATCACAATAATTGAATAACCTTACAGTAAACTTTTCACAACACACAAATTTAAAATGTGAACTTAGTCGCTCAAATGACCCGATTCAACTAAAAATTAAAGAATTCGTCATGGTGCACTTAAACATAATGAATTACCCTCTTGAACTTGAGGGTAAACATTTTTTGACATACTTGCATAACAAACATTCATCAGAAACACTTAAAGCTTTTGCTATCGCGAGATAACCGCTTGGCCAAGTTTCCGTGCCGGTGAGTGTATAATGCAGTCATAAAATTGTGGTCGCCAAGACTATGCTTACTTTGAGAAAGTCTTTATTAAACAATGGTATTAATATTATAATCTACTACTTACTTAACAAAATAAAGGTAGGAACTTCAGAAAAAAATAAAATCACCTAAAAATAGATAGGTATGTTTAACAAAAATAATAGGAACTTCCAATGAACAAATAATAAAGTTAAATCATTCTTCTAAAACTAATTTATGTATGTTGTACTGTACCTAGGTACTACTTTTAGGTAGTACCTACTTACTTCTTTTTAACATATTTTGCATTTGACGCAACCGCTTTCAATAGTGTTTTATTTGATACAACACGTTCTTTAAAATCAGTGCAGCTCGAGTTTATGTTGAAAAAAACACACAGTTCACTTTTCACAGTCTCTAGACCAAGGCGGTTTCGTTCATTGGTCCATATATTCCCCATCACACTGAAAATGCGCTCGACGAAGGCGTTCGATACAGGAATGCTGCATACATGTTGAACCAATTTGAGAAGATTTGGCGCTGATTCTTTACTAAAAAAGCTGCACCACATATCCACTGACTTTCCCTCCAGGGACTGGTAAACACTACTAAGTATAGCCAACTCTGAGTAGAGTGCTTCCGGTGGAGTGTCGTTGCTTCTCGTTAGAGTCCACAATTCAATTAGTTGGTCCAGAGTTGGTAGACCGCGTTCAAGGTCCAAGCAACTGAAGCTTTTGAACACCGAGTTTTCGAACTGGAACCACTTTTCCAAATAAGCAACAGCTCGTTGATAAGCAATCAGGGCGTGTTTTTTAAACTCCTGAGTTTCTTTATCCGATAGGTACTTTTTATTCATGGCCATACGCACTTTCATTCCGAAGTGTTCATCATAATTTTTTTTCACTATTGTGTCCCGGAATTGTGTCATAATATTGTGTAGACTGAAAGCTAATGTGCCGTTATTTTCCAGTAATAGTAACACTTCCTGGAATGACGTCATGAAGTTGTGCGTGAAGTATAGATAGAGTTCGGTATAAGTTGGGTTCGTTTCTGTTGTGGGATTATCTTTTTTGGTCTTTTATAATAGCCCATATAGCCGGTGAACAATTATTGACGCCTAGTTCGAGAAAGTATTTTTTTTAACGGCCCCCAGGATGACAAAACTCTATCCAGGGCTTTGAACAAGCTTAACCACCTAGTGGGTACATGGCGAAGGACCTCTTTGAATTTACTTTCATAAAATTCAAAGCACTCTTTCAGGTCTTGTCTCTTCTTTGCTGCATGGGAAATTCTGAAAATGTTTTCAGAACGATGTTTTCTACGTCAACTGGCAACATCTTTAAAGCATTTTTGGCACAGTTATGAATTATATGATCATTGCAATGGGCAGCGATGATGTTACTATTCTTTTCCTCTTTCAGTTTCTGGTACACCGAATTATTCACTCCATAATTAACAGAAGCGTTATCTGCTCCATACGCAGTTACTCTGCTCCAAGAAAGATCTGCTTCTGTTAAGACTTTGGACAGGTGATTTTTTATAGATCGCGAGTCTTCGAATGGATCTTCGTAGAAATATACAATTTTTCGGCACATTCCAGATTTTGCTGTAAAATACTGAACGGCAACTGGGAACTTCTTGTTTCCTTTATTCGACGCATCAGTAGCGACGGAAAAAGGAATGACTTCTTTCAAATGCTCTTGGACCAGTTCCGTTGAATAAGGGTACAGAACTTGATTCACAATGGCAGTGCATTTGGTGCGCCCTCCGGTCATTTGTTTCACGATTTCCGAATCTGTGATGGTTTGTTTTCTGACCTATAATGAACAATCTTGAGCCAAATAGGAGATGTGATGTTTTACAGAGTGAAAAATATCTGCTAACTCGGCAAGGCTTACTTTTTCACTCTGTGCGCTTCCTTTAGGCGTAAAGAAAGAGTCCATTCTTTGGGACATGGCTTGCGCACTTTCCGCCTCTTTATGCTTTTTTGTAGAGGCATGCTGGTTCACCCCCTTCAAACTTTCAGCCACAGTAAATTCATTTCTACAAATTTTACAGTAAGCTCTAGTGTCGACGTTGGCTTTAGTTATCCTAGAATATTTATTTTCCCAGTCTTTATTATAATGGCACATTCGTCTTATTTTCTTTGGCGGTGTTGCAGAACTGGTGGAAGCTTCTTCTTCCTCCATTTTCCATTAGCTTTGTGTGAAACTCAACAAACAGTCAAAAACACAAACATACACTCAACTACGACGAACAACTTTGCTTGTTTCAACGAGTAGGTACTTAGGTCAACTGCGTAAACACTCCCGAACGTTGCGTAATTTAATTATCGACTAGGTAAACAAAACTCGAAAAATCAAAACAAAACACACCGGACGCGCGCGGGTGGAGGAGTGGACGCAGGCAGCGAGTACGAGTGAGTGAGACGGGTATACAGTGGTGAAGTGAGAGCCCGCATACGCAGATACAAACAGCGAGCGAGGACCGCGCGCGAGTTTTGCGTTTTAGGGATATCATATGCCTACTTTTGTAGACGCTTGTGACCAGTAGTACCGACTTTCCTCAAAATACCGGACATTATTCTGTCCGGTATGACCATTTATTTTTTACCGGACAGGCCTCGAAAATACCGGACTGTACGCTTAAATACCGGACATCTGGCAACCCTAACGCCAAGGCATGGTGAAATGATAACTTATGTTTACGTTACAAAATTAAAAAAAATATCATTGCTTAGAACTTAGAACAGGTTACATATTTTGTTATGACACACATGATGGTCAGAAAATAGAAACTACGGTACACACATACAGTACAGTACAAGCACGGTAATATTATCTATACAGTATTCCAACTTCATACAAACGGACGAAGCGAGAGCTATACCTACGCGCCTCGATCTCGGCATGCGCTCGGCATGCAGACAGTCGAGACTGTGCCGCAGTCATGATTTTGTGAAATATATAAAAAAAATGGAGGAAATAAATAATAGAATAGAAATAAAGAAATAATAAAACTGAACTTCATTTAAAAACAAACATATAAATTGTAAAGTAGCTGCAGGTATCTATAACCAATTAAAAGATATTCCTTTTCTCCACGTTGTCCATGTTTCCCAAAATAATTTTTAATTTATATTATTTTTAGCTTTATATTAGAAAGCGGATTTTTTATATTTAAAAAATCTAATAATAAAGCATTTCGTAAGTCTCAGCCGAGGTGCAAATATTTTTCAGTCGCAAATTTATTTAACCGATTTGTTATTCAATCATAAACATGCTTTTTTAATTAAATCTACCAATCAAAAAACGACACGCATTTTTATTGAACACTTCCTATTCAATTCACAAAGTACCTATTTTATTTGTTTATATAAAAAGTATATTTACAATCATAAAACTAAATGGAAACACAAAGTAGGCGAATGTAAAAATGCTGGAGGCAGGTAGCCCTATCACATGTTTACGTGCCGCACGGCTGTAGGCATTTATTTGAAAGATACGGCCGAGTTACAATACTGTACATTGAGTTATAATGTACTACGTACTAGAGAAGCTATTCCAAACAAAAATTGTGCGCTACTTCTATGTCTTCGCTCTTCGCGCATGCGCGGTAATAGTAGTCGCGCATGCGCAGTTGGTATAAACGCGCTTTGCGCTTGCGCGGTCAGTTTTTGTTATTATAGATTATACGTAAGTAGAATGGTCAGTATGTAATAATTGTTTATTTATATTGTATTGTTAATTATATCGAGTACTTACAATTTTTTAAATTGTTTTTTATTTTGTATATGTGCTAATTTAATATAATATTACATAATATTATGTCAGAATTACATTTTGATGATATTGTTATCTGAATATTTTAAAAGGTATCTATGTCAAATATAAAAAAACGTACTAAATGTATGTTTAACAAAACTTATTAACATAAAATTTAAATTACAAATATATTTATTTAAATTAGAATCATAAATGTTGTAAATAATCGTTCATAAATGCTGGGCACGCGAGAGTTAAAAATGGACGAATTTATTCCACTTTGACTTTGAAGTGGAAACCTAAAAATAAAATAAAAGAATAATAAGCAGATTTAAACATGAAAAATTTAGCTTAATTATAATAACTTATATGTTTCTACAAAAAAATGTGTAGTATAATAATATATTCGTCCTAAACTTAAGTACCCACAGAAATGTCGCATCTGAACATATTAATTTCATAATCTATATTCAATGATACGAGATGGCGTCTTAGGAATAATTTGCTTTATTATTAATTTATAATACTTTTTTATTGAATAAGTATCTTATTAACCGATGAAAAGTAATTCCTTGGTTTTTACTGACATTTCTTGAATTATTTGTGCAATATCTAAGTACACAAGACGGCATATTTTTATCAAGAGATTTTTTTTAAATCAACACAACACGTGACAACTCTACAAGCGCCTAGCGAGTGACTGATTAAAGTGCAGTGCATGCACCGCAGTTGAGTGGAACAGAGTAGCTGAATGCAGTGTCTCCTCTAGTACGTAGTACATAATAGCTCAATAATACTGTATACATAATTTACCGTGCAGTACAAGTATTATAGCATGATTGCGATTGGCTAGCAGCCTCAAGGGTTATTTATAATGACGTCACAAGTATGAGTCGTTTTTTTATTGGAAAACTAAACTATTTTTTATTAATAATAAAATATATAATATAATAATAAACTAAAAAACTGAAAATGTTAATAAAAAATTATTTTTCTAGTATAAACCTAGTAAAACACTTGTAAACCTGCAGAACAATAAGAATTATTATCAAAGTTTTTACGATTTCAAAGATGCCTAAAATTATACATACCTATTAGATAAAACGCACCCGCGTGCGTACTCTTTGAGTATTCAACCAACTACGTACTATATACTATGTAAACTGCAACTTTTTTATTTATTTCGTGACTTCGTATTTCTTAATTTTGTTATTCATTACTATTTTATAATGTACACATACACATATTCTTATATATTATATACATGTACATGTTATAAAATATTATAAGAAATTGGTTATGAAAAGAAAAGTTTTTTTACTGAATCCATAAAAACAAGTTCTGTTAACTCCAAAACTTTTTAATTAGTTGCTAATTTTTGTGATCCGTGAAAAGCAAACAATTTTGCAATGTTCCGCTTTTATCGAAAGGTCGTCTTAGCAGAAATAGAAAAAAGTAAGGTCACAGATAATGTTGATGAATCGTATCGCACCGCTTTAATAAAGTTCCTTACGAGAAAAGAATAATAGTTGCATCAGATACCTACAATCAGAGAACAGTATTGTTAGCTTTTAGCTTGCTTTTGCACTGATATTGACTTACATAGGTAAGTGTACTAAGTAAAATATTATTATAGGCGTTGGCTATAATCATCATCATTACAGCCCTCCACAAGTCCACTGCTGAACATGGGCCTCCCCCAAGTAATGCCACAAAGCACGGTCCTGTGCCACCTGCATCCATCGACTTTCTGCATGTCTTACCAGGTCGTCACTCCATCTAGTGGGGGGTCGTCCTACACTACGCCTACCGGTACGAAGCTGCCACTCGAGAATCTTTTTTCCCCTTTTGTTGTCGGTTCTTCGAGTTTATGGCTATATGTAACTTATCTGAATTCAGACTTGTTTATAAATAAAGTCAAAATATCTGTAAACATAAAGATAGAAGTGAGAATTGTCATTGATAATTATCAAGTACTGTCTGTAATCTATAATTAATATCTGCAATCGTCATAGACCATTTTTTTTTTGGATAAAATATAGCCAGAATACTCCTAGCATTGTTCTCTATCTATTTGTGAAGTTTCATCACAATCGGTATTCAGCCATACTGAAGATTAGCCCGGACAGATTGACAAAGACAAAAATTTTGGAAATGGTTATACATGTCTTAATTGCGTGCAAATTACCCCTGAGTTCAGTAACGAGCACTTATTTCGATATTACAGACAGTCTTTCAATTTTTTTTTTATATATATATAAACGTAACGTAAAAGGTAACGCCTTTTTGTACAAAATCTTTGGTACAGTAAAGAATAAAGTAAATAAATAAATTTTGTGAAATCCTGTTTGCTTTGGCTGGTTATATAAGTTATTGCTTCTATCGTTTATAGAATATGTGTAAAAAATTAAAATGCTTTGCGCAAAATGGGCCCATGTATCTTTATCGCACTATTTATATACCTCCGTAATATCTATATATACGTCAGACGTTCTCTCGGTTTAATTAACTGAATTGAACATAATAGTTGATTGCGTAGGTTTTATTTGTTCCTGTCTTTGTGACGTTTGTGCCATAGATAAGTTATTACTTCTATATACTTCTTGACATTCTAAGAACCATTACCACAATAAGCGGAGATCGTTGAATACAATGATGATGGTTTAGTCGGTTTAAACAATAATGAGAAAGTTTTTCTTATAGAATAACGGTGACAAAAGAGTACACGGTCCACCTGATAGTAAGTAGATGTAAGAATCAAAATGTCGATGAGTTGTCACCTCTGAGAACTAACATAGAATACCTCGTTACCAGTAAAAGGGTCTCAAGTTTTCTATACGCACCACACGAAACACAGGAGCACATGGCTCCTTCTTTAACGGGTATTCTGTGGGAGCGTTAATTTTCCTCTCTCTACCCGACCTATTTCTACTGCAACCATTATATAGCTGCAGCGTGCTCTACTACGTTGAACTGTTCTTTGATCAGTATCTATCTATATATATATATAAAAGTTGATGTGTGTATGTATGTATGTTTCCTATAGACTTCGAAACGGCTTGACCGATTTCAATGAAATTTTTAGGAATTCTTTAGATTGTCCTAGCGAGTGATTTTGTGAAGTTTGGTAGTTTGGATGAACAGAACTTTGTTTTCATCAATGACAGTGTCTTACAACTGAAGACAATTTACATCATCTGAATTTGAAGAATTCCTAAAACAATTGGCAATCATACATCGAACTTCTGCTCCCTTCCATCCTGCAGCAAATGGGCAAACTATTAAAAGATCTCTTTAAAGTATGGCAGAAAATTGTGGTATATACATGTCAAAATGCTTTGAATTAGAGCTTACTTAAAGACATACTCCTAACTCAAAAGGAAGAAGTACATACCAACTGAAGTTTGGAAGGAAATTAAGAACGAAACTTCATACATTGTTTCAAAGGGTCCAAGTAGCACGTCAAAATAATTGCACTACATACCGTTCATTAAGAAAAATCTTTTTCTCATGGAGATAGAGTAGGTATAAATACTTATTCGAATCCGAAAAGGAAATGGGAATTTGGAAGTGTGACACATACCGAGGGACGTCAGTCCGACGTCGAGACGTCATATAGATCAGATACTTCCTATTCAGATAAATGATATTCCGGCAGAGGAACAAGATTCGCGGCGGAGAGACTGATGTGCTCTCTAAGCCTTGCTCAGCTAATGTTTTCGGAGCCTAAGTTTTTAAATATAGTTCTTACTGCGTCACATTAGTAACGGAATTAATAATTCTATGTCATCTATAATATAGAAAAATTAATTTTTTGTTTCTTCTTATTTATGCATTGCCATACCGTGCATCAGATTGCTGTAGAACTTAGTCAACATATTTTTTGCACTTCTCCGAAGGTTATAGGCATAATTGGAACAGGTACCAGTGCGAAGCCGGGGCATGTCACTACCACTAGTTGTTCTACTATTTCCGGTAGGAAACGCCATAAGTATCACTTCTTATTTACTTTGGACTTTACAATGTACAAATACAAAGTAATAACCGAACCAGCTCCTTAACATTTATCACCCATTTTCATTCCTGGTACTAAACCAACATATATTGTGGATGTAGGTTCTCGAGTGGCGGCCTCATACCGTTAGGCGTAGTGTAGGGCGACCCCAACTAGATGAAATGACGACCTCGGCCTATAAATATGATGATGATTCTACTATTATAATTATCAACAAAAATAACGTCATCATCATCATTACAGCTCTTCACATGTCCCCTGCTGAACATAGGTCTTCTCCAAGGAATGCCACAAAGTACGGTGCTGAGCCACCTGCATCCATCGACTTCCTGCATGTCTTACCAGGTCGTCACAACATCTAGTGGGGGGCCGCCCCACACTTCGCCTACCGGTGCGAGGCTGCCACTCGAGAATCTTTTTTCCCCAACGACTGTCTTTTTTTTAGCAATATGTTCGGCCCATTGCCACGTCAGCTTACTAATTTGTAGTAGTCTTCGATTAATTATAGTACTATTATTGATCGAAGGTAGTAGTATATTATGTTAATAATTTAACTAAAGTGAAACATATCATATCCTAGCATAAATGGTGAGCCATCGTCTCTAGAAAACCAATATATTGTGAAAAATATCACCTAAATCGTTCAAGTTTTTCAGAAGTTCACGATTACTATCAGACGGATCAACGATAGTATGGTTGTGTTTAGATATAGAAATAAACTTGTCTTGTTCCTTAAATCATCTATTCCTATAAGAATATAGTATCCAGTTAATTTATTATATTCAATACAACGCAGTAGGAATTAATATTTTATTTTGTTGATAATGTTGCTGCGTATATTTTTGGTAAATGCGCCAACAATTTTTCGTACTCTGCGCAATTCAAAATATCTACGGATAGATGGGCATTCTAAACATGACGCATCTATTGTTTTCAAATGACGCATTAATAAAAAAAATAATCCCGGTAAAGCTCGTTATCTATGGAAAATTATTAGCCTTGCAATGTATACTACTGCAATATGTATTAATTCTATTAATGAATTTCATTGGCTTCTTTGTTTATACTGCAGCTATTAATATTTAATACTAATTAGACATTGGTTTCACGTGTAACTTTAATATTATACTTAACGTCATGATCAATTACATAAATTCTAACATCATAATTGCTTTTTAGAGAATTTATCTGTCACTTATTATGATGTTTAGTACTATACTGCGCATGAAATATATAAATAAAAAGCACAATATATAAAAACTACTTACTATTACTTGTAATATATTATATATGTATATAAAATGTCATACAAGGCCTGCCCTATACAAGTCCACTGCTGAACATTGGCCTCCCTCAAGGAATGCCATAAAATACGGTCCTGAGCAACCTGCAACTATAGACTTCCTGTCGTTATCATACGAGCTCGTACTATGGCATGAATCAGAGAGGTTTTGACATAAATAACATAGTTATAAAAAATTTACCTGTTAATTACTGTTCGCGTGAAAACACGGATATTTAGTTGCTCTGTTGTTATTAGTGAAGTAGCTGGGTTGTTTATCTTTGTCACTGTCTTTGTGATGAACATAAGTAATTGAATCTTTGCGTTTATACGATGTTCATTTTATGCAGGGTACAGTCGCATTGCTTGTTTTGATTAAGGCTTATGTTATTAAAAATATAATGCAATTATAAATGCATTGTGCCCATATTATTTAACTTTTAAATTCTTTTATTTTACGTTTTGTATTTCGACATCTTGGACCAAGATTTTAAACATTTACTGATTAATAGTGATTGAGTGAACCATATAAGATTGTTTTTAAAATTGTTTTCAGATTTTTCAAATCATTCGTCAGGCTATGTTGAGGTGTAAATTTTAGACAGACTAAATAATTAAATATATTTCACCAGATCTGTCAGATTTCAAATCAGCATTTGGGAGATCTCAGAACAGATGACAGAATTACTGACTATTGCGTAAATTGGAATGTTACGTGTCTTTTTAAATCACAAGGTCAATACTTATTTAACGTGTTAGTTTTTGCGCATCACTTCATTCCTCACTTATTTACTTGGCCAGGTCTTTGTAAACGAAATAATATATTAAAAAATAGACAGTCGAATCTAATTAAATTATACATTTTTTTTTTTGAAGATTATTGAGAAGAACCTCCTTATATTTACACAGTTTATATTAATAATATAGATAGTATCACAGAATTGATACATCATATTATATCAAAATATTTCTATACATTACGTTTTATGGTTGGCTTTGTGCAACCAACGTTAATTAAATGACAAGCGGCGAGGGTTATATTGTAGATTTGTAGAGTTTGCTGTGTCGGAGATGCGCCCAAATGGCGGCGGCAAAACGGACGATGTGGCTGCGGAGTCACAGCGTCCGTTTGGCATACGTAGTAACATTATTTAATCTGTGGTTTGGCGTTGATGCTTCCTTCCTTTATATGATAAAAAAAAATTGATAAGTTATTGTTTGCTTTGATGGATTACCAACCCGTCAATCGCGGGATAATATACAATATACTTTCGAACATAATATTGTTATTATTACAGCTTTTTAGTTTATATTACTTAACGAAACTGCAGCATATTATGCTGCTATTTCACGATGGTATTTACTGCTAGCGTCGTCGTTCCTCGATCAAGTCGAGCGATTTTTAATGTGATAGAGGTGTGCTGCAGCTGTATTATGGTTGTAACTCGAATGGGTCGGCTTGACCGGAGTAGGGCCACGCTCTCACGAAATAACATACATAAACACTCACGCCCGTCACCCAGAGGGGTAGGCAGAGACTACAGACTTCCATTTGGCACGATCCTGACACACCTCTCTTGCCTCCTTCACATCCATACACCTACGCATACATGCTCGTCGGTTAAGGGTACTCCTAATTTGGCCCGTTTTCAATAAATCGCCAATTTGGTCGATAAATTTTCGCCTAGGACGTTCCTTTCCGACTCTGCCATTCACTTCTGCACCATTAATTTTCTTTGTCACTCTTTCCTCATTCATTCTTTCCACATGACCAAACCACCGAAGCATTCCTTTCTTAATCCTGGTCACAGAGTAAAATAGCAGCTCAATGCTCCTGTGTTTCGTTTGTTGAGTGTAGAGAATCGGAGACCCTTCTTACTGAATATGAGGCATTCCATTTATGTCCTCAGAGGGACAACACATCTGCATTTTAAATTGTAATGGAGGATAAGAATAACTGTCTACGGGCCGCAGTATCCACTTACCATCAGATGGACTGTGTGTTCGTTTGTCACCGTTATTCTATAAAAAAAAGCGGTACTGTATTGTGTTTCTGGCGTTGATAAATAACTCTATTAATATGAAATCATTAACTTGTCACAGGTGGACAGCGGCGGCGGTGGCTCGGCCGAAGTGATGGTGTACTCTCTCGGCTGGGGCATGGGCGAGCCAGAGCGGCGTGCCGTGGACCGTAAGCGCGCCCAGCCGCCCTCTGCCACGCACACGCTCTCGCCGGACGATGGCCACGAGGTCGACGTGTTGCCATTGCACAATCAGGTACGAATTCTATTCCTGATACACATCTATACACTGGTAGAAGAGACTCTTCACCATCATCTCATCTTTAAAACCCTTCAAAAGTCCACTGAACGTAAAAGCCTTCCTCAAGGCACGTAGTAGTTCAAGCAAGTTAATGGAACTTACTTGAACTATACTTGATCAATGTTTATTGTAAAAGACTTCAGAAGGTTGCGGATTACGCAAGACTTCAGAATTCAGAAGGTTGCCGAAAAAGGTATTAAGCTGTAAGTATTTTCAAGAGATTCTTATAACAAGATTAGAGCTAAGTTTAGTGATGTTTTTAAATTATTTACAAAATAATTTGTTGTGTGTCAACTACTTACCAGCTCGACATATTATGTATTTGCGTAGTAGTAATTATTTTAAAATGATTTTTTTTTTATTTGGTTCAGCTGTTCGAATAACACGTTATTTACGTACAATGAGCTTGAATTTAATAAGACTCACGTGAAATATTTTAAAGCCAAGGCTCGTGAAGTTTTGTTGCCGCCGCGTCGTCGCGTCGAGGTGAACCAGTCACGAGAGATTAAACTAAAATTTCAATTTATTATGCATTGTTAAACGACAGAAATACAATTCGTATGTAGAAATAAGAAAGTCAAAATGGAGCTAAATTTATCTTCGGCATCCTATTATGCTTAAAAGTTGTATAGAACTAGTTTTACTGATTTTATCGTGTTTAATTTTAACTCGTTTTTAAATTTGGACGTATCCAATACATCCCTTAAATATGGAGTGAGACCGGGTTAGTTATGAACTTATGATATCAGGACGTCGAACACAGCAGTCCTCCGTCGCCATGAGTTGTGTAAAATGTTCATTACACTAACAATAATAATTTGTCTGCTTTTCTGTCCAGTCATAATCTGAGGTTGTCTTTAAGGCTTTTATTACACTAAGAAAGTGCGATTTACCATCTAAGATCGTAGGCTTTTGCTACATTAGGATAGCGAGTTACCATTTATGGCTTCATCACCACTTGTTATAATAAATATTAAAAAAACTCGAAACGTTGGAAGATAAGTAAAAATGTAACGTGATAAAGTTAGAAAAAATAGTCTTATGTAATGTGTAGTACTCGCATTAATATAAAAACAAACACGTTGTTAAATATTATTTATTTACTTAGTACACCGTGTAGCTGTAGTGTCCCTGTGACCAACAGAGGGGAAAAAAAGGGGAAGAGTGATAACGACTAAAAACAAAAAAAAAATTACGGTTGCCCTACGGTACCCGTTTGCCAAGCGTGGCAACTATGGCAAATATAGGGGATATTATAAATAGTTATAAATATCCCCTTTATGAGGCAATCTTTGGAGGAGGCCTATGTTCAGCAGTGAACTTTAATAGGTTGTAATAGTAACGGTTAGTAAAGCATAAAAACTATCTATATATATTTTTTACTTTTATTACAATGACACAATAATAATGTTTTAAATTTGTTATAATATTTACTCATATTTACTACTTATACTTTTATATTTACTATTATTAACCGCAATTCATTCTTTCGTAGAAAGGCGAAGGTGTCACTTCAACCTAGAACTATTTATTAGCAAAGAAAAACATAATGGCAATTTAAAATTCGATTACTTTTATATACGCGACCTGACCGTGACACTGGAGACAAAAATAGGTAGCTTTTTAGCATTCGACGTCAGATCTAACATCTGGAGTTACAAGTGATAAACATAGACAAAAATAATACATATTATGAATATCTTGTCAAATATCCTTGCGATGTTTGTTGTTAATTGTTACCTTGATTCTGATGATAGCGTTATTGAATGGATCAAAAGTTTTACGTCATATTTTAAGTAGTTATGTTCACAAAACCAAAAATAGTTTTCGTAAATAAGTGGGATATTTTTTTTTATAGAATATGGGTGACAAACGTGCACACAGTCTACCTGATGGTAAGTGGATGCCGTGGCCCATAAATATTCAATATCTACATTTACCCTCGATTAGCAATAAAAATGCAGATGCGTTGTCATCCCTAAGGACTAAGATGGAACGCCTCGTTTTTAGTAAAATGGTTCTCCGGTTCTCTACACTCACCAAATAAACGCAGCAGCAAGCTGCTATGTTACGCTGGTATTCTGTGAGAGCGTGGTCCATCCCCGGTCGAGCCGACCCATTAGTGGTACAAGCATAATATACGAGGGTGGATTGAAAAGTACTCGGCCTAACACAGATCCATTCAATTCTAAAAATCAAATCTACCCACATTATTTAGTTCAGTTCAGACTAGTTCATTGTGTGAAGTTCGAAACGTGTGCGATAATTAGTTGTGATTTTATAAATTTATTAACAAAGTAATCGGACATAATTTCCGCGAATGGAGCAAATCGAGCAGCGTGCCGTCATTAAGTACCTCCATAAGAAGGGGCTATCATCAAAAGCCATCCATGATGACATGGTCAGTACATTAGGCGATTGTGCTCTGTCATATTCATCCGTCAAAAAATGGATAGCAGAATTTAAGCGTGGTAGAGAGAGTGTGAAAGATGAACCCCGCTCTGGAAGGCCTTCGACGTCAACTACTGACGAAAATATTAAAAAAGTACTTGATTTAATAATGGGAGACCGCAGATTAAAAATTAGAGAGATAGCCGAGATTATAGGCATCTCTTATGAACGAACTCAAAACATCATTGTCGACGAGTTGGGTTTCCACAAGGTGTCTGCGAGGTGGGTTCCGCGACTGCTTTCAGTTGAACAAAAAAGGACGCGATTGACTATTTCACGCGACTGTTTGGAGTTATTTGAAGCCGATGCAGATGATTTTTTGAATCGTTTTGTTACTATGGACGAAACATGGGTTCATTACTGTACACCGGAAACAAAACAACAATCAAAACATTGGAGAAGACCTGGTTCACCACCCCCTAAAAAGGCTAAGTCGATTTTGTCGGCAAATAAGGTGATGGCTTCAGTATTCTGGGACTCGAAAGGTGTGATTATGATTGATTATCTTGAAAGGGGTCAGACTATAAACTCTGATTACTACTGCACCTTACTACGTCGTTTACGAGAGGAAATAAAAGAAAAACGTCGAGGAATGCTCAGAAGAAAAGTCCTGTTTCATCAAGATAACGCCCGTGTTCACACGTCAGTACAGTCAATGGCTGAAATTCACAACTGTGGCTTTGAACTGTTACCGCATCCGCCGTATTCACCTGATCTGGCACCATCAGACTTCTTTCTGTTCTCTAACCTAAAAAAGCACTTGGGAGGTCAAAGATTTTCGACAAACAACGAGGTCAAAGCAGCTGTAGACGCATATTTTGACTCTAAGGAAGAATCATTTTTTTTCAACGGTCGAAATGCTTGGAAGGGGAGGTGGCAAAAGTATATTGAACTTGATGGTGATTATGTAGAAAAATAAAAATGTAACTGATTTAGTATGTGTTTATTTTCTTGGTTAGGCCGAGTACTTTTCAATCCACCCTCGTAGTTCAAGCTTGGCTCTACCATGTTTAAGCTTGTGATACCAGTTTACGTGGTAGAGCCCCGCTGCAGCTATGCCAAATATGCACAGTACGAATGGGTCGGCTCGATTGGGGAAGGATCGCGCTCTCACAGGATACTAGCGTGAAACAGGAGAATTGTGTTGCTGTATTTCGTATGGTGATTGTAGAGAACCTTTTTACTGGTAAAGAGACATTCCATCGCAGTCCTCAGATGTGACAACGTACCTGCATACAAAGCCATAGTATTCACTTACCAACATACTTGTCGGTTCCCTTATTCACTTCATTCACTTCTATTTAAAAAAAAACAGTTTACTTGAGTCCATAGAATCAGTAACTTATTAATGATGCGTAGACGCTTATAAAGCGGCCATATAAAATATACAATTTCGTTATAATAACAAAGTAATATTTTCTAATTATAATTTAACAATTCTCCTGGATATGAGGTGATCGTTTCCAAAGTGTTTCACGAACTTAGTGAGTTTTGTAATATAATAAATAATGTTACTTTGGCAAGAACAGTAGCGCTGTATTTATTGCTGGTTTTTTCGATGTCAGTGTTTTTTTCTAACCAGTTGTAAAAGTATAAATTAATATTTCAATAAGATTTATAATCTATATTGAAAAATAATAAATAATAATAATATTATTTTCTTTGTATACTCGTACTAAAGCTACATTCGTTAATGATTCGATCGAATTGCATTACAGCAACGAGGAATGCACTTTGATTGCATTTTTATGTTATTTTTTTCAAGATTCAAGAACAGAAAAAAAACACCGTGAAATAATACTAACCTATTTTTTTGGAAGTTAGTGCTATGTGCCTTAGAGTATACGTAGTCCACTACCTACTAACGGTTTTTATCGGCTGGCTTTATCACCCAACGTGCTATCATTCAACATCATATTTACATATTATGTACCTTCAATATTTACCTTGTCATTAAAACATTGTCAGGTTTGTATGATTGTAAAACTAAAGCGAAGGACAAGCAGTTTACAAAAATCCTGGTTTATTTGCCCTCAAGGCGCCTTTGCTATAAATATACGATTAAAAAGGTTTTTTCATTTAACCGGTTTGTGTCGGATGAACTGCAGCGGTGTAAACGTTCGTAAGTAGAGTGGACGTTCGCAGGTTAGCTCGAGGTCAAAGCACCCGGCATCGTCGTTTTTTTCTGCCCATAGGCGCGGGTTGTAACGATCGCTAGGTGACTGCACTGCACTGTGAATCGTTTGTGCTTTATGTCGGGTACAAATACAAACCAAACGATTCGAATCAATCTACTTGATATTATCGTAAGCTACCGACATCCCTTTTGCAACCGAAGCGAAAGGGGTCTTAATAGAGTTAAAAAAAAAACAACTTAAATAACACGTATTGATTATGAGTTGTGATGAGTGAAGTCAAGGTCAAGGTCATTGTCATGAAATTATTGTAGGTATTGTCATCGTTCGTTGTTGTCTTATGTGTGCAAATTAAGACGTCTGGAAATGCGTGAAAACGGAATTATAAAATTACATTACAGTCATACAACATATACTTGTATACATACAAACATACAGACCAAGCTAATATACGGCGTGTAAAAAGAGAGAAAATAGGATTTGTAAATATTATTCAAGTGGGTTACGTTTCGTGTAGGTACGGCCACCATTGTTTTAGCATGTTCCTAAGTTTTTATAGATCTTTCTCTAAACATCTGAAACAATGCTCGTCTAAAACGATCTCATATATCTTGGTTTACCCGGATTATCTTGGAGGAGATTGTTTCGTGTTAGCATTATTTCAGCGTAACTCTGATTTCACTCGGACTGTGTTAAATAAAATAGTGTCATGTGTTAATATAGTCCTTTTTCAACCGACGTCAAAAAGGAGGAGGTACTCAATTTTACTGTATGTTTTTTATGTGTGTTACCTCAGAATTTTTTTCTGGATGAATCGATTTTGATATTTTTTATTTATTTAAAAGATAAGTAGTGCTTTTCGTGTAATCCCATATAAATTTGATCAAGATCTGATCAGTAGTTTTGAGTTATTCTTAAATAATGCGGATTTAATTGACTTCGAATATATTTATTAGGTTGTATTGAAGTCGGTTGTACAAAATGTTTAATTTTACCACATGTTAGTTAATGTATTTATTGTTGACTTAAATTATAATCTGATTTTAAAATCATCACAGCTGTTACCCCCTGCTTCGCTGGGTACAAATTAACCTTTAGTGATAATGAATATAAAAAATCTCCTATATCCTATTTTCACGCCAATCAGCAATTTCATTAAATTCAATCAGTTTTATGAGCGTGGTTGAATTTTGAATCAAAACAGACAAACTTTTACATTTATAAACTTAATGAAGATATGAATTCTTATTAGCGTTATTATCGTCTTTGTATTTTTAGTATTTATAAAACAACAATGAGTATATTTACTTTTTTGTTAAAAAGTTAACAACATGTTAATGTGTATTCTCCAATCAGTAGAAAACTCTTATCGGATATTCTCTTCGATAAGAGGCCAAGGCTCTGAAAACAACGTGTGATTGTCAACCAATTGTAAACACTCGTAAAGTTTTGTTTGGCAATTAACACTTTTAGAACGGATATGACAAGACAATATACATATTGTTCTACAATACATACTTGAGTCTTGTCTGCATTTGTCAGAACGTCTTGTAAGCAAGACAGCTGATCACTTTATTTATTTAAATGCTACATAAATATATGGAATTCTGCACAAATAGGGTACGAAAAGAACTTGGACGTGAACATTAAATTACGTTATTATGGATTATTATGGGTAGGTATAATGATATTATGCGAAGACTGAGTCTAACTAAAAGTCCTGTAATTGAAGAACCGTGTACAATTGATTGTTTTATTTGGTATTGTGCATTATTGCTGAAATAGAAGTAATTTTTTGTCGGTCATATATATAAATCTATTCATGCTCATCTGTACTGCCAACAGCAAAAACAGTAGCTATAGCAAAATGCATGATCAAAGTTCAAAATACTTTGGCCCTTAGTTATTACTTAACTATGTGTTAATTAAGTTATATACGTGTTGTGACATAATTAAATATTTAATAATAATTAATTATTTTAGTACTTTCTTAAGGAACATTCAGATTCATTCATTCATCATCAGCTATGATCATCTTTGTACGGACTCGGCATATTAATGATTTAATGTAGATTGTAATGTGACTCTAAATCGAAAAGTTTTTTTTAACTTTTTTGAATACCAATCCCTGTTTTACGGGAAATAAGTCCTTCTTCAGCATCGTCCTATTTTGGACCATTTTTAGTCGTTATAGCGAACTCACTGAATATGCTCATTATCAAGAAAACCCCTTCCAATTTCAAGTTTTTTTAATTTTACATGGGGTGCGAAATGTTGGGATAAAATAAGAACGAGTGCGACCGTGTTTGTCTGCTATCCAGATATTAATTCAAAATTTAGTGTCGGTGTTTAAATCAATCACTATCGTTCTATTAATATTTAACGGTTCAATTAAGAACAGCGATATAAAATTATTTAGTATCTACTATAACTATTCTTGAAACTATAAAATTTTATTTTATTTTATAATTCTAAAAGTTTCGTATGAGTAAATCGAGGGTGTTATATTTTGTTAAAGCCGACTTCCGTAAATTGCACTATACGTGCGTTATACATCACTTGACCGACTTTCACCACAAGTTATAGCGGCGTGCGAATAAGACTATCATCGCGTATTGTTCCAGGTGGGCGGTCACACCAGGTTGCTGGTGCTGAACGACAGCACGGTAATCAAGCCCCTGAACATCCGCGAACTGCATTTCTACCAGAACATTCCCGAAGATATTCAAAATTTCGTACCGCGATACAAAGGTAAGCTCGAAAACTTTCTCAAACGTAGCCCTAACGATGCTCGGTACGCTTTACGAATTCGCTGAATGCATCATTTTCATTCATTGCATCGTATTACTTTGTTTCATTTTTACTTTTATCGTTAATATTATCATTTCTCTAAGCGATTATTTAATGTGTTCAAATTATGTTGTTTGATGTTATTGTATTCGGAGCATTAAGGAGCTTAATGTTTTAATTTTCACTAATGAATTGTTAATTTTGCTTATTTTATCGGTCGGTCGATAATGGAGTTCGTTATCCGATGTGCGTCATACAATATTTAATATCGAAATGTTGTAAATTATTAACTATACTATAATATCTAATCTGGGCATGTTTTCTCATTTATAGATGCGTAACCGGTTACGATTTTATATTGTTCTCCTTATTGCTCCTTTGATCGTGATCATCATTTCAATTTGTGTATGATAGAGACGCACGAGTGGATCCAAAAGGCCCTGCCGATTTCTTTTCTTGTATTTGTATGTTATTTAGCCTTTAATTCGTAGAATTTTAAATACTCACAAACGATCCTTTAATCTTTTATAATCGTTATGAAATACTAGGTTTTTATTTTTTTTTAATGTTCGTATGTTTTAATTTCTCATATTTTTTTTTATTAGTGTTCCGTAAAATGAGTTGTTACTTATTTATAAAGTGAAATGTTAGTTGTGCCCAACCTTTATTTAAGCTTTAAATGTTGGTTACACTTGAATATATGGATAATTTTGGAAGATTTTCATTTTGAGAATGTGCTCGTAATAAACAAGACTTACAAATTTAGTATTCCACTGAGCCGTTTTGTTTCTGGAACGGAACGCTAATAAATTTAAACGCGTTTCAAGGATTTAACTAAGTATCAAGTCGGAAAATTGTGGCATGTACTTGTGAAACTTAAGCAGATACACAATGTTTCTTGTTTAGTTTCATTTTTCTTCATTGTAACTTATGATATAAATTAACAGATTATAAAAAAATATATTATCTGTATTGTGCACTGAGTGCAGTAAATTGAACTTTTACCATGACAGAACAAATATTTCCAATTTTCCGTTTTGAAATATTAAAAGCATTGGTTCTGGTAAAACTGGTAAAAGTTCGTCCGAGCGAACGTAATGCCACTGATTCGGTTGCGAAGCGTGACTCGTGTTAAGTTAGGCGGTGGGCAGTGTGAACGCGCGAGCGGAAGCGGGAGCGGGTGCGGGCCTGGGGTGAGGAACACAATATTAGTTTCCTTGTTGTCGCAAGGGCTGCGGCGCTGCGGCGGGCGGAGCGACGCCGGCGGCACTCCACACAACCGCCCCTAATAGCGCCCTAGCGGTAATTTTACATTTTGGGTTTGTAAACCTTTACTTAAACCTACATACACGACATAACAGCTTACACATTTACAAAACATCCCCGTACAAGATCCACACACCACACATCCACACGTTATGTAGCTTTCACCGACATAGTGACATCACCCTAACACATTACAAAAGATATACAAACCCTTTTTAAAATTACGTTAACCGTTATATTTTCACTATCCATCTAAAATTAACGCTAGCAATTTGCACCAGTAAAATTGTTAATAATATTAATTTAAATTGAAGTAGATTCTTGCACTCGGCTAATGCTCATGTCGTGTTTAACTTGTGACCTAAAGATCCGGGTGAAACACCCGGCTGGGCATTATTTGAGTTGAAATTATATTATAATAATATAAACATTCTATCGTGTAAAATAGTAAGATTCTTTTCAAAATTTTCAATATATTTTATTTTACAATTCAAACAATACATAAGCTAGTTTTTATTATATAAAGGGTGGCGTATGCTGATGAATTGGCCATTTGTTACAGGCGTGATGCAGGCTTCTAACACTGGTGGGCAGAAATTGGACAAGCGCTACTCGCCATGTTTCCGCGACGAGAACGGACGCAGGCAGTCGCTGAGCGGGAAGCGCAAGCGAGACGACGTGTTCAAGTGCGTATCCGCGGGCGCGCGCACTGCGGTCGCTATCCCCGACACTTGTCATGTGTCCTTTATCATATTTCAGAACGAGAGGCGTCGCCATTAATTCATACTTACTATACCCACTAACGAGCGACTGATGACCCATTCACGCTCTGCGAGCCTCCCGTCACTTGCGTCGTGGAGCCGTGGTAATGATGCATCATTTGATTCTAATGTAACAGTCTAACGCCACTTTCTATATTAGCGCCTTTGTTGTGTATGACAATATCGCTTCTATGTTTACTTGCGTGGATGTTCTACAGTGTACACTTTTCCCATTGCAGATTTAAAGTTCACCGAAATGGCAATGCAAGCGAAGTCCTTAAGAGCATTGCCCACATGGATAATTCCAATAAGCAATGTAAGTATATGTATAATGTACTTTATCTTTCAATCATCTCAATTACTATTTTATTTGTCGTTCCTACGAGTTAAGCTAATAGTTATTTTTTAGACCAAACAGCGACTGGTGCGTAATCAGTTTGATTTATTACATACCAGTATAAATTAATGAAATCGCTTATTAGCGTTTGTCCGCCTTTTAGCCTTTAAACATGCTCAAACTATTATAATATTAGATTAGATTTTTATGTGGTATTCAATTTCTTATATAGGATTTCATGAGCATTCTTGAGTTTCATAATTAAGTAAAAGTAACATCACAAAATGGTAAATCTCATCTCTTCCGAACTGAAGTGAATCAATCGCTGATGCTGATGATTTATCCTAACGGAAGTGTCCGTAATTTTTCACGATACTTGAATATGGTTATGGGACTTTCATGAATCATTTGAAAAATATTCAACTTGCACAATGGCCTGTAAACGTCAGTGAGCCGAGCTCGGGGGCCAACAGCTCGTCGTAGATTAGATTGTGCGCGAGCACCCCGAGTTCGCTACCAATGAAATTGTTAATTGCAATCATAAGCCGACAGTAGAACGTTATAAGCTGTAACTTAACTTTTTTAAGATAATTATCATTATATTATAGAATAATTATAGAAGAATTTCAATATATTATAGAAGAATTTCAAGGCAAACTTAAAAAAGTGGCTTAGCGTTTGGTCGCGGCGATGCGGGGCCGCGGGTATGAATACCGAACGGAACAAGTGTTCGAATACAATACAATTGTTGGTTGTGCCCTTGTGTAATTTTTGTATTTAAACCGCCTCTATGATACAATAGAAAATTGTACTGTAGGGGCTATTTAAAAAAGGTATTAAGAGCTTTATCACACTGACGATTTGCACGCGAGTTCAAAGCGAGGCGAGTGAGCAGCGAATAAATCGCGCCACAGTATAAACTAATTGACCGCACGTATAGCGCTGTATCCATTGTATTGACGATGTTTGAACCTCTCTACGATCAACGAAGCTCTATTATTTAATATGTGGCGCGGTGTCTTCGCGGCGTGTTGGTCGCGGGCTCGCTGCGAACTTACGGCATACAGGCACTCGCCTCGCTTTGAACTAGCTTGCAAATCGCCATTGTGATAATGCCCTAAGATGAGGTTGTTATATGCGGCAGATTTCCTGATGATGGAGAACATAACGTCGTCGTACCGGCGGCCGTGCGTGCTGGATCTGAAGATGGGCACACGGCAGCACGGCGACGACGCGAGTGCGGAGAAGCGCACCAAGCAGATCGCCAAGTGCGCCGCCAGCACCTCCGCCACGCTCGGCGTGCGCCTCTGCGGCATGCAGGTGAGCTGACCTTCCCCCCACCCTCCACCTTACCACCAACACCCAAAACTAAAACACTAATAATGGAGAGTGCTCTCGTGCACTATAATACGTGTTTATGTTATTTTACACGAGTGTGTCCCCTGTCGTTCGCATATGGCTAGCCTCCGTTAAAACTGGCCGTTGTGATCGGACTTCAGTTTAGACATTAAAGTACTTTCACTTTAATTTGGGTCCCAAGTAATATAGGCTGTCTTATTATTGTGAAAGAAACAATTATAAAATTGTTATATTTATTTTATAAATCGAGTCGGAACAAATTGAGTTGATTGGCTGCTTTATCGACGTTCGCTGATTAAACGATTTGACATAAATTAAGAGACAGTGTATTACACAGAAATAACAGTGGGACTAAGGAAAATAATTTAACGCGGATAAATCTGCGCCGGGTTACAAAATTTTAGATACACAAAATAAAGGCGAAAAAAGAGTCGATAAATATCGTTATAACTTTTTTCTGTATCATCGTGTAAATTCTTATTTATCGCAGTTAACGAACAATTTTGTTTGAAGTTAAAATTAATCACTAAGCACCTAACAGATAACGGGGATTTACCGTTTAGTTTATATACGGCTGTAACACTACAAACATATTGCATGCGGATATTATGCCTTCACGCTAAAGCGTATATGCATATAACTTGCTTAAGTATACTCTAAGAGTATCAACAATGTCAGAAGGACAGACTGTGTTAAGTACTCTTGAGAAATATCAAGGTCTATGCAATATGCTTAGGTACATGTTCAATTTGAATATATCACGGAATTTACGCACGTTTACGTTGTACTGTAACGTAGAAGAAGCAATCAGGTGTAAATAAATCGTTTGGGGAAGTGTTTCAAGGTAGATTTAACTTTGTAAACTTCCTGCTTCGTGTAAGGTTGGAAGTGTATTCTGCAAATGGTAGTTTATTTTACCTATTTGTGTAAGCTTTTATTTAACTTGCTTTTTTCGTATGTCTTTCCGGTTTTAAAATTTGTAATCAATTTTGAAACACTGTCTGATATCCGATTGAGTTGAATATTGGTATACTTATGTAACTTTAATGTCAATGCAACAAATGGCGCCATGGAGCCGATATGATGATGGACCCAGATGCTGGCCCTGTACGCCTAAAAGCTTGTTTTATCTTGATTTTATCGATTAGTGATATGTCGAGAGTCAAGATTAAATAATTTTTTAAGAAAAACAATATTACGTTTGTGTAAACTACAAATTGCGATGTATGTCAAGTTATATATATATATATATATATATATATATATATATATATATATATATATATATATATATATATATTTTCGATTTATTAAAAATATGTAAATGTATATTTATTCTCCCATTATAATTATTATTGAGTCAAAAGTATTCAAATTAGAGATTTTTCAAACCGTAACAATTTGTAAATTCGAAAATATTAACTTTACCGTGGAAAGTTATTGAACCTTTTTTATACGTATTTCATCAAATAAAAATATTTTTTTAAATGTTTTATGCTTTTTCTTTATATATTTTTAACGAGTCAAAAATTTATAACTCCGATAATATTAACTTCACCTTAAAGTCATAGGTAGAACCTTTTTCATTTGACAAAAAGATATAAAAATATCTTTTATATTTAATTATTTTTCTTTATGTATTTTTATCGTGTCGAAAGTGTTCGAGAAATTTTATATTAACTTTTTAGTAAAAATAAAAGTTCGCAGATACACATATTGTTTGCCCTTAGCGCTTCAGCTGTACTATTCAAATATCAACAGAAATAACCATAAACGATTTAAACAATAAGGCCATTCCAGACTTTTGGCGGTCAAGTTGTCGCCAAAAGTTTTATTTACTAAATATTGGATATTTTGTGTGACGGTGTTGTAAATAAAAAAAAGTCTGTGTGTAATTATGTGCACATGCGACGTGCAATTTTATTAAGTACATATTGTTTTATTTTATTTTATATTTTACGTAAGTAGGTTATAATAGTATGATCATTCAGCCCCGGCGGTGAAACGTTACGTATTTTTAACATCGTACTAAATCTGTCCAGTACGGTGGATAAAGAAGGTTTCAATTAAATAAAAGCTGTGTGGTGTGGTGTTGGCGCGCAGGTGTGGGTGGCGGGCACGGGCGCGTGCGTGCGGCGCGACAAGTACTGGGGGCGCGCGCTGAGCGCGGCGGGGCTGCGCGAGGCGCTGCGCGAGTTCTTCGCGCCGGGTGGCCGCCTGCGCGCGCGTGTCGTGCGCACCGCGCTGCGCCACCTCGACGCGCTGCGCACGGCCGTCGCCAAGCAGACCAGCTACCGCTTCTACTCCTGGTAACACCTACGTACATACATTACAGCTTACAAAGTCCACTGCTGAACATAGGCCTGCCTCGTAGGTTATCTCATAAGGCCACGCTTGGCGGGCGGGTTGGTAACCGCAAATTATTTTACGTTGTTATCAGAATCCTTCTGTTGTTACATTTTTCCTCCGTCGCGTCTTATGATACCCTCGGGACGATGTGGAGTAGTAGTGGATATCCTTAAACCGCCACTACACGGTTGTTACCTACGTACTACTACATTTTCAACGCGGTGCAGCCACACTACAGCTTCATTATGGTTATAGCGCAAATGGGTCGGCTCGAGCGAGGCAAGGCTACGCTCTCACAGAATACCAGTGTAAAATAGCAACCTAACGCTGCTGTGTTTCTTATAGTGCGTTTAGAGGAACGAAGACCTTTTTTACTGGAAACGAGGCATTCCGTCTTAGTCCTCAGGGATGACAACGCAATCGCTTCATCACATAATTTCCGTTTAGTATAATTTATATTCACATATAACAAACAGCTGTGTCGACGACACAGCCGTACCGTGATTTTTTTTTCTTTATGAGTGAAATGCTACCCCACAATGCTGCCAACAATAAGAAAATTTTGCGTTTTGTAAAGTCTACAATTGCATGAAAATGAGTCAATAATTTGTACATTAATACGTGAAGGGAAACTTTGAAACTAGCGATCCGCCTTTTCTTCGTACGAGTTTCTGGATGAACCATCCAGTTGACCTCATAAGTTCCTCATAAAAATTTCATCACAATCGATTGAGCTGACATTTTGACGTGGTTAGCCACGCTACAGCTATGCTAGCTATACTGGTGACCTTTTTACCTATGGCACTGAAATTAAAAAAAAAATATTTGAAATAACTAAATACATAAATTAAAATCTATCGAAATTCAAATCATATCCACACTAATTTACGAACGGCAATAAAACAATAAATTTATATTGTAGGCACCTTTGACCTTGTCACTTCGCAGGATCGTAGGCTCAAAGGCAAAGGACAGAGTAATTGTCCAAAAAAATTTCAAACTTTTAATTAAAAATTTTGTTTTTATTTTTTGTAAAATATCAGTGCCATAGGCTTCTACTCCGTTCACATGTTACATCTGTGATTCGTATGGTGAGCGCAGAAAACCTGAGACTATCTACCGGTGAAGAAGCATTTCATTTTAGTCTTCAGGCGTGACAATGTATCTGCATTTTGATTCTAAATCGATAATAGATGTTAATTTCTTTGGCTATAGCATCCGCTTACGTGGTCTATGTGCTTATTTGTCTCTGTTATTCTATAAAAACATACTGAGTTCTTTCTTTTTTTCTTGGGCCAATTTTTTTTGAAATTTCATCACAATATATTATTGATGCGCCGTATTACGAATATTTTTGTAAGATTTTGAGGTTGGCTTGAGCTAGTAAACCGACGATACTGATAGTATCTTAAGGTACCTAAGGGGAAACAATAACTTGAGGAACACATCAACATTTAAGCACTTGTTTCCATAGTTTCTACTAATAGTTGACATTCGCAGACATTTACAATACACAAATCTACACCACTTTTACATATTTTTTTTGTAGAATAAGGATGACAAACGACAATACAAGAGATTTCAATTAAGAACCAAAATGCAGATGCGTTGTCACCTCTGAGGAATAAGATGGATTGCCTTGTTCCCAATAAAAAGGGTCTGAAAATCTTTTATATATATATATATATATATATATATATATATATATATATATATATATATATATATATATATATATATATATATATCAAAATTAACTTCAAACCAATATTTGCGAGGGACGTTCAATGTATTCTTGTTATAGCTATATTTGAAAAAAAAAATTATAAAATATTTTTCATTATTCAATATAGTCTCCTATGAGAACCATACATATTTACTTGTTCGTGAAAAAAACTTTTCTATTCCCTTGAATAAATATATTTTGTTTTGGCCTGAAAAATGCTAATTTACAGCGGACTTGAGCTCATTATCATCATAATATCGCTTTCCCCGAAGGTCTTTTTCTAAGTTTGGGATAAAAAGTCATCTCTCAAACGACGTCAAGTGGCTGATTATATTTTGTCTGCGTTGATGGTTGCACCTTTTTATGTGTACTCGATTAATAGTATTCTTTTGGAATCCCAAACCACTGTGGCCATGATTTAAATGTTCTGATCACTTTTATGTCATTGCGTAGACTCCTGTTTACTCTCAGGGTGGTGAACCCACGTTTCATCTCCTGTATCCTATCAATAACACTTGTTGGGCCATCACCACACAGAAACTACCTACAATAGTCAACCTGCCTCAAGAATCAAGCCTGCTTTTGAAGCGCAGTGAGTGTTCGCAGCACCCATCTTGCATTGACTTTTGTGAGGTAGAGATAGTCATGAAATATGGTGTGTATGGTACCAACGGATAGGTTAGTCATTTCTGCTAACATCTTAATTCTTACTCGTGCATCTTTTAGTTTTTCAATCATTTTCACATTTTCTTCTGTAGCCGCTGTGATTAGCCCACCCGGGCGGGGCTCAGTTTTGATGATTTCTCTGCACCTTTTAAATTCATTTGACAACTTCTGTACGATTGACATAGAAGGAACAGTCTTGGTAAACGGCCACTATTTCTTCATGGATGTTTTTTGAGTTTTTCCTTGTTTAGTGAGTAATTCAATCAACCGCACGGTGTTCCAATTTTTTACCGACTTCAAAAAGGAGGAAGTATTCATTTCGACTGTATGTTTATTTTTTATTTTTATGTATATTACCTAATAAATTTTCTCTGGATGAACCGATTTTGATGATACTTTTTTATCTGTGAGCTGTTTGTTGTTTCTCGTGTGGTCCCATATAAATTTAATCAAGATTGACCGGTAGTTTTTGAGTTATATTTAATAATGCGTATTTAGTTGCCTTAGGGTACATTGATGATGTTCTCATTTTAATTATATTGAAGTGGGTTGTACAAAATGTTTTATTTTCCCATTACCCACATTATTAGCAAAAAACCCTTATATCGAGAATACATCATCGTAAACGAGAATTCAGGAACAATAATCCGCCGACAGTTAAGTTCCCCCCAAAACTGTTTACATAGTAAGTTAGTTAATTTAAAATTGCAATTAACAATTTCATTGGCAGACACACTTTATCGACGATGTCAATTTTTAACGTTACTCTCTCCTCTCCATACAGCTCACTACTAATAGTATACGAGGGTGACCTATCGAGCGGGCCGATGGACGAGGGCGGCACATCGGGGTACGACGCGGACGCATCCAGCAGCTCCGTGGAGCTCGCGCCCTCGCTAGGCCACTTCGACATGTCCACGCTCACCGACGAGATGCCCTCGTCGAGGGAGCCCTTCACGCACTCGGAAGAGACGATGGGCGGGTACGAGGAGGGCGAGGTGGCGCACGGGGCGCGCCCGCAGCCGCCCAGCCCCGACTCAGCGGACAGCTGGATGGCGTACTCCACCAGCAGCGAGTCGTGGCGCGGCGACTCGGAGGCGGAGGCGGAGGCGGAAGCGGAGGCGGAGGAGGCACGCAAGCGCGCTCGCGGCCGAGCCGAGCGCAGCGCGGCGGTCGGCGAGCGCGTCGACGTGCGCATGATCGACTTCGCGCACACCACGTACGCGGGCGCGGCCGCCGAGTCGCCGCTGGCCACGGCCACGCCGCACCACGGGCCCGACTGCGGCTTCCTCACCGGCGTCGACAGCCTCAAGCGCCTGCTCACCGAGATCCTCCTGCCGCAGCCCTACAGTTAATGGGAGCCGCACGCCGCGCCGCGCCACGTAGCCAATCTCACCGAATCGGAGACGGCTGTGATCCCGGATCCGCCGCTCCGGCTGACGCCCGTCGACGCCGGTCGGTACGCATACAATATCTCACATTTCGCCGATGTTGCACTCGACTTGGTCGAGACATGGAATGAAATAAAAAAACGGTTTAACTTCATAATTTTGTAAATGTTCGACTGATAATTAAATAGTGAAATTATGAAATAACTATGTATTTACATAAAAAGGACACTCCAGGGTATTTCTGTGCATCACTCGTGTCGTGCGTACCTCGTGCTTCTTATAGATAATTGTGTTTATCTTCTCTTTATGTAACTACATAGTAGTTATCGCACTTAGTGAATGTTGGCGGTACAAATTATTGTTAATTTAATATTAAAACTATTATAATTTTAAAGTGGGACCCAGTAGGTATTCTTAAAACACGTATTCTTAAGTATTATTTTAAGTTATTCCAAATTGACATTTCATTGTAGCATATTTTTCATTTTCTTTAATATATCAATTATTCCTATGAAAATTAAATTCTTTATGCACTTATAAGTTAACAAAAACTTAGCAGACATTCCCCGACACTGTTAGATACTGTAATATATAAATGTGTAGGGTTTTTTTCTCCTTGCGACACCGCTCTCCTTCATTATGCCTTTTTAAATCTCATTTTGCATTTAATATTTTTTAATAATCTCATATCGAGCTTAAACTAATGTCGAGGCCTATAAACTTTTGAGCCCAGTCAATGAAACCAAAGTGAAATTACAATTTTAAATTGGAATTTCAACATGCAATACTTATTTTGAATAATAAATAGAATATCATAATTTAAATACCGTCTTGGCATCTCATTGTATGTGAACAAATGTTATGTATATAGTTCCGTGTTTGTAATCCGACTATAGTTGTGTATTGTTGTGTTGTTGCCTTTTGAGAGTGTGAATTATTATATTTTGTATAATTTGGCTAACAGTATTATAAATATAAATAGGTGTCAAAAAGAGAGATAGGAAATAATAGATAAGACTTAGGATCTAAATTCGTCAATTGAGTGCTTATTATACACCGTCGAAGCAAATGAAAGAGCAAAATTAATTGTTTGTACAGTACAGATAAAACTCTGACATTTGAAATTGGATTGGTCGCTAGTTAGCACTTTAAAAATGATGTAATATGTGATCGAAACATGTTAGCCAACATTCCTTTGTGTTGCATTATTCAGTGTCTGTTATTTCATTTTACTTTTATTTTTAACTGTGGGATGTAAATTATGAAAAGTACCTGGATTATTTAGGATGCTAGGTTGTACTGCGAATTATCATTTATGTTTGTTATTTTAAATAACTGTATGACACTATTTTGTTAAATAAATTTTAGGTATTGACTTTAATAGTTTTATTTCAAGAGAGTAAATTACGAATTTTGTAACAATTATAACATCAGAGGTAATCCTTACTAACGCAGTTGTAACCTGACAACTGCGTACCACAGGTTTCTCCAAAACCGCGCTAAAGTCTTACAATACAAAGTTATTTATTCGATTTAGGTTAGTTAAAGGGTAAAGGGGTAAAAATAAGTTGCATCATGCGAAAAGTTTTATCGATAATTTTAATTTTCCAAAGAATTTTTCATTTTTAATTCTACCAAAAAAATCTGAGTGGTCGTGAGAGTTTTATCACTACGTTTTAGTTTAGTGTAGTTACGTTTTCAGTCACAAGCACAATGTCCGTCCGCGCAAAAATTTTGCAGTCTGATAAACGTTTTGTGGACGATGATAAAAACGTTAACGTATTATAAAATTCATATTCGTCGTTGAGTGAGACAGGTGGGGTTATCGATACCGTATACAAATTTAGCGGAAGTTAAGTATCGTACAAGGGCGACAAAGGAAAACTGAAACAAAAAATCGGCAGCATCACAGTCCTAATAACAACTGATAATAATAAAATGCTGCAATTGCCAATCCGCTTGGCAAGCCTGGAAACTATGGCGAATTACCATAGATCTCTCTTAGAGTTATAGCATGTAGGTATGTTATTACTATTAGGTTATAACATACATATTTAGGTCCCTTTAGCCACAGAATAACAAGTTTTAAAATACCCAAGTGTAATCCTGAGTATACAACATGTAACAAAAACCCTGTGGTTCCCGTTAACTGCCTGATCTGAATCAGTATCCAAGCATATAGAAATTATTTTATTTTAGAAAAAAAAAATTAATTTGCAAATTGTATGTGATTTTATTATCTCTGCATTGGCCTAGTCGTAGAGGATTGTCAAAGACCCCACATTACCGATACTTGTGTGAGTTAGAGAAAATAAAACCACATACAATTGGCAAATTATTTTTTTAAATGTTTTTTTGAAATTGATATTTGTTTTTCTGATTCTGATAATACACTAACGGGAAACACAGGGTTTTTGTTACATATTGTATAGATAGTTAAAGTAAATCCTGACAATTTTCTATTAAAAATAGACGGAGTGATTTCAGAACCGCAATTAGTTCTCATGTCATAATTGTAGCATTATACTTCAACGCACACTATATTGTCCATACTGTCTAATATTTAGTGTTACTATACAGGGTTATTTTGCAATAGCCGGCCAAATTTGCAGAGAAGATTCATATTAAGTAATAGAGGCAAATGGTGAAGAAAAATTAATTACAAAAAATCTCAAACATTCTGACCTTTTTATCTTCTTAATTCAAAATGTTTTTACTGCTACATTCGTAAGGGTCGATCGGTAAACAAAAACGTTGCCCATAAATTACATTAAATTAGGGATAATTGCAAATGTCAGAAGCCTTATTTACTCGTATTTTCAAAAACTAGCTAACTAGCAATAACGGTATATCATTATTTATGTATTTGAACTTAAGTTTAAAATTTGGTTACTCTTTGAAAAATAACCGTGTAAAATACGGTATCAAGTACCTAAAATAGTAATATTATCCTCGCAAAATAAAAATATCTATTCTTTTAGCCCGCACTTTGTAGTAAGATGTCTAAAGTGATGTCCTCCAGACAGAATTTCGGTCACGGCGACCAATCTCGATCTCAACGGTTATTAGCTATCTGCGCAGGATAAGATCAAGTACACGAGTGTCTATGCAAACTCATGTACACTCTATTATTCCCTCGCTCACACAGATCGATGGGACGATATCCAACCCGAACGGAGAGAGGTCAGGCGCTGGACTGAGGTTTTTCTAAGGCATAAGGGTGAAACACCGCCTACTGCCTAACTTTGAACTGCTAATTTGAATTGATTATATTTATATGTAGGATGATAGAACTGGATAGTCTATACATATGATAAATCTGTAGAAAAGTCGTGTCTGTAATTCTAATATTTTCTAGAAAAAACAAGTCAAGGGTACTAAATAAAGGGCACTGAAGCCAAATTTGTGGTTTTTAGAATTTTTGTCTGTCTGTGTATTAAAGGTTCACGCAAAAACTACTGAACAGTTTTCCATGAAATTTTGTGTATAGGTAAAGTAAATAGTGAGGGATCCGGGGCTACTTATAGGCTACTTTTTATCCGATTACGGAACTTCAAAAAAGGAGGGTTAAATATTTTCCTTCTTTTGGATGTTAATTTCTATTTTATATGATTGATGTGCTTTATTAAAATAAATAAAATATTTATAAATAAAGCCGAAAATTAGTTTTAATCGTTGTGTAATAAATTGAACTATGCCGACAATGGGACCGCGCCGTGCGATAACAAACCTGCGACTAATTATCATTAAAGACTAGCCAGCCTAACTCAGCCGCCGCGTAGAGTCTACATTACCTGAGGATGCCTCGTGTAGAGGCGAAACACGTGTCGTATTATCGTCGATGGTGTGTCTTACCTGGAATAGTGGTGTTGGGGGTAGTGGTGCTGGGACTAGGACTAGGAAGTTTGCGAAGAAATTTTTATTTTTTATTATAAAGTTATTTAATTAAATTCATAATTGATTTGAAAATTCTAATGTACATTTTTTAGTTTTTGTTAAGTATTTCATTTTAGTAGAAATAAATAAATTTTATAGTAACTAATTACTATTAAATAAATAGTAGTGACATCTATCGAAAATCATAAAATTAAGGATGTTTCTAAGTTTAATTTCTAATCTATAAAAGTTTTAGTAGGTATTAGTATTTTTATCTATTAACAAACTGATAAAAGTATGTACAAACCTCCTGTTATCCTTATAGTTCAAATAAAGAGTTTTATATTAAATGCACTATGAGGTTTATATCCATAATTGGTGGAATAAGTGATACCGTTGATGCAGTTTTTTTTTACTTTTAATACGATTTATAAAGCAATTTGTCATATATTAAGATTATTTTCGGACATAACTATTAAAAATTTTTGTGACAGTTCTGTTTGCATAGCTCACATGAGTAAATGAACAGGTTTTTGTGAAAAAGTAGGTACTTTAAATATCAAAGAAAGCAAATTTTGAACACTGGTCTCTGTATCTCTGTATCTGTATAAGCCTGTAATAAAACAGATCTAAACGTACATTTCGAAGTGGTACGTAAGCAACTCAAATTAGATCCGCGCTGACTCCATTCATATTCAACTGCAATTTGAAGTTTCGATTTACCACATCCTCTGTGGTGAAGAAAAACATCGCAGGAAATCTGCATATCTGAGATGTTAAAAAAATATTTCGGAAATCATTTTTAGGTATAGGTGAACTCAGTCATCCAGCGTTGGATTCAACTTTACCAACTCCTTTTTAATCAAAACTCGCTGTGGGCTGTGCCCAGTAGTGGGATGTATTTAGGCTCCCACTTTTTTACTTTAAGGCTTTCCACTGATGATCATAGGCCCATTGTATGACAAATAGACCGGGTATTTGCGGTAGTATTCACGCTTGTCGAGCGGGTTGGCAACCGCAGCTATGTATTACCTTGCGCTGTTATCAAGAAGATGCTACCAGTCTCCTGTTTCAGTTTCCCTCTGTCG